ACCGCTAAAATACGTCTATCTGAGTCTGTTCTGTTCCATTCACTCGTTGATCCCCTCCCCATCGGAGTTCAGTTGCTCGATCTGTTGCCTGATCACCAAACAAGCCTCGGTTTCGAATAGGATTAAAAGCATGTCCTAGCTGGTGATGAAAATAGGCTAAACCTCCTCAATTGAACTCATCTTCACTTATGGATGACCACAGCACCTTTGTATAATATGCGCTTCACAAACTGAACTAAAAATATGATATAAGACGATTCATTCATGAACACAGTGGACAAAGGTGAAGATCTTGTGGTCCTTGGGCAAAACTCGAGAACATGTTCCAGTTTGATGATGAAAGTGGATTCGAATCGCTAATGTCACATAGAGATAAGCTAGAAATGAGAATTTAAGTAGTGTATATAGCAAATGAGCGTGAACTGAAAAGCTCGGAAGCACTGGACAACTGTTTCGACCTGGTTGAGTCTCATCAGTCAGGTTGTGAATGTTTCCAACCGAGTCATAACCCTGGAGGCTAGTGCTGAGTTGTTGGCCCGCAACAAGCTTTCAAAGATGGGTTGTGCTATATCATGTAAATAGAAAATGAAAAACGGTCTGACCAGCTGCTCAGTGGCGTAGTGGGTAGCACGCTTGCGTTCTGCCCATGAAGTCCCGGGTCCGATCCCCAGTTGGGACGATGAGACCCAACCAGGTCGAAACAGCTGTCCAGTTCTTCCGAGCTTTTCAGTTCACGCTTCATTTGCTATATACACGACGAATTGTCATTTGAAATTTAACCAAATCCTCCATTACCCACATGAGATTTCAGTAGTCTATGTTGAAAGCAAGAACCAGCACCCCCAACGGAAGCTCGAAACCCGGCACTAGGCCTGGCGAACACACTCGTCAGTTCACAGAGCTTCACAATTTGTTTGCGCTTAAATCACCAGGTTCGACGAATGGGGGTAAAAATGAATTCAGTCTAGCCCCGGAACCACGAGAACCAGCTTTATAAAAGTACTTGATCAACTTGAAAAAGATGGTTTTCGTTTTCTGTTTTAATCGGTCCGTGCAAAGCTGCACAACACAATTAGAATTGAAGGGGATGGTGATCATTTGTATGGGTATCTGTGCTCCGAAACAGGGGCTGAAGCAATTGCAACATGATTGGTGCTATGCTCCGGAATTAGTGCCCGAACTGTCCGGGATTTTTTCAACCGATTTCGGTTTGTGGCATATTGACCCTGTGTAATCAATGCTTGTTTTTATGAAACAATATAAATTCCTCAAATCGTTTTTACCCAGAAATCTTGTTCGGTTTTGAAATTATTTTATTTATTTATTTTTTATTTATTTTTTTGTTGAGCAGTTTGCGTTAGCGGTTACCATCACTAACAGACTAGACTCTACCTGGACGTGGCCGGATGGCTTGTCCACCTCTATGACCCAAAAGGATGAACTTTATCATGGATGGAAGGTTGGAGAGTAGGTGTCACACGAAGTTCAGTCTCCTGATCCTCTCGGGTTTGGGATTTGACTAGAGTTTCCGTCTCAGTCGGTAAAATGTTGAAGAGATAATTGACCCAACCACATCGGTCTCCATTCCACCTCACCCTTATTTGTGGTCAAACTTTTGTTGGAACTAAAAGCATTGAACGAGACCCTTAATCGTTTTCCAGCTTAGTGGTTGAACTCCCCAGGAGCATCCGTGCATCAAACTTTGATGAATACACAAACCAAACATAATTCCTTGCTGTATTAGCTAACACGCAGGATAATAAAGATCGCGCTTATTATCACATCGAGCGGGGTGGGTAGTACCAAGTGGGCTACTGCTCAGATATCCCAACCTTTGTGTAATTTTTTGTCTTCCGTACCTAAATCTCTTCCTTTATTACTTCTTTCGACTGGTAACATTCCACCTACCAACTTGTTTGTCAGTCGTCAAAACTCGTTTTCAAACGGTGATTCAAGTAGTATACCACGAAACAGATTGCAGATTATAAAATATCGTCATTTTTTGGAATCTGGGACACTTCAAGGTGAGAACTGTGATACAGGCTGGTCAACAGACTTACCTGGTGCGTACAATGAAATCCTTCAGAAATCCAGTATACTGCCAATTTAAGACACTTAACTATTTCGGATCTGTCTTTGAATTGCTTCTTGTCCAATTCAAGCAAAAATGAAGCTCACGCAGAAGGTCAGTATGGAACAGATATTCCACACAATAATAGAGCCTTCGACTCAGTTGACCGCGACGCCCTAATGTGTTCGCTTCTGCAAGCAGGAATTCCACTGAGGTTAATATGTTTAAGGTCAGATTATTCGCATCTTTCACATAGTGTAAACGTCTACGGTGAGCTAAGCGAATCTCTCCGATTTAGCAGTGGTGTGTTCTTCAAGGGTGCCCTATTTCACTACTCCTAATTTGGTCGCAAACGAAATACTAGTGAATTTAGTCAGTTATCTTTGAACTATTGGCATGGAATGGATAGCTGGTGAAAATCTGTACGATCTAGAGGATGCTGACAAAATTGATTGTCTGTTTGATTACGTAGGAGACGTGCAAAATGCACTACACATACTGACAAGTTACTTAACTTCATTTCGTATGCACTTCACACCTACAAAGTGCGAAGTGATGTTGCAAGATCGGATGTCGTCTACTTCAGCTCTGATTATTGATGATCAAAAATTAGTTATAGCGAATTGTTTCTCGTACCTAGGCAGTTGCGTGATCAACGACGGTTGAGTAGAAGAACAGATAATCCATCGCATTTCCAAGGCTCGGCGGGTGCACATAGGACTGTAGCACCTGCGGGCGACGACGAGCAGTTTCATTAAAGTTGAAAAATTGTGCACCACCGCTCGGTTAGTTCTGCTTTACGATTGTGAGATCTCGAATTTGCGGGTGGAAGACATCCATCGTTTAGCAGTTTTCGATAATCGATGCTTAAGTAGTCTGGCCCAAGTGGGATGGAATGAGCGGGTTAGTAAATTAGAAGCAATACATCAATCAGGATATGTTCGATGGTCGCCTACCGCAACAAGCCTTATTCGCAGTGGCTGTTGCAGACTGGAGAAAGCCAGGTGGAGGCCAGCAGACGACGTTGAGACGAGGCGTGAAGAAATGCACACGGCGATTAGTTAGAGTAAATGTCTCTCGCTTACCGAGTTGGGGTCCAAAAGACTCCATAAGTGGATGGTTTGAGGCACTGAAGGACATAGCAGCGAACGGACAGTAGTGGCATTCTTGTTGTCACTTCTTATCAGACCAGAAGGCTCGAAAACGTGTGTTGGTTGAGAACCCTAATCGTTCTCCTGCTTAGTGGCTGGATACCGTTGCCGTACCCGTCCTCCAAACCCCAATGCATACACAACCAAAAAATAATTTCATACTGCATCGGTCGTCGCGCAGGACAATCAGGACCGCACTGCATTGCATCGAGCGGGGTGGGTAGTGATAAGTGGGCTACTGCTCAGATATCCCAACCTTTGTTTAACTCTTTTTCTTTCGTACCCAACCATCTCCCTATGCCCCTTCTTTCGACCCGTAGCAATCCCTCAAGCAACTTGGATGTCGCTCGTCAAATGTCGTTGCCAAATAACACTGTAAGTAATGTGTCACGAAAAGAATTGCAGATTCTAAAACCTCGTCAATCGCTTAATCTGGGGCTTTCAATTTGCGAACCCTGATGCAGGTAGGTCAACAAGCTTGTCTGGCGCGTACAATAGAATCCTTGGGAATCGATATTTGCTGCGTGTCGGAGACTCGAATCCAGGATCCTACTACTATAAGCCAGATTTGTCTTCGAGACATGTTCCTCGTACATCAGGTGACGATGAAGCTCGTTCAGTACGCCAGTGCGGAGTAGGTATTGTACCAAGTGTCAGGGCGTATTCCTCTCTTATCGGCTGGATCCCCATCAACATCCCCATCATTTATGTGCTGTACGTCTCCAGGGTTCAATCAGCGTCCGGAAGGGAAGCAGCACTAAAAGGTGTTTGTTTATCGTATCGGCATATGCATCGACCAATTGCAGTTCTGAGGCCCAAAAGGACACTATCTACGATGAACTCAGCGATCTCATGCGGATGAGTCGAAGCTCCGACATAGTTGTACTTGCAAGTGACTTGGAAAACTGGGCGCATCAGAAGCTTGCCTAGGCGGTAGTTGTGCTCTGCCTAGCCAACGAACAGGTAACGGCGATCGAATTCTTCAGTTCTGGGCAGACCTTCACCTGTTCCTATCAAGCACCAACTTCCGACACAGCTCTCTAGAGAGGGCAACGTGGCGCTCCAGTTCAACTGGTACGCTAACTCAAATCAACCACATCGCAGTACTTTACCGTTGGTGTGGTTTAGTGCAAAATTGCAGGTCCTATTGTACCACCTACGTTGAATCTGATCATGCGTTAGTTTTGATGCAGTTCACTCTCCGACTGACTGGTCGGCGACAAAACCAGCAAACTCGGATACCTCATCATCAACTATCTGTTCCAGCAATTCGTGCACTCTATGAATAAGAGCTAGTGCGTACGCCAAGCGCGCCTCAACGTGGTGGTGTAGATGAGCAGTAGAATCAGATTAGGCGAGCAATGCATTCCGCAGCGAATGTTGCTTGTGGGTCTGAGCCTCAAACCCATCGGATGCATTGGATATTTAAGGAGTCAGTAGCCCTGGTGGAGCAAAAACGACAAATCCCGACCTGCCAGGATCCAAATAGAGTTAGGTGGCATCTACAACGTCAGCTCACGAAGAGTTCCAAGAACTGGTGGACAACAATAGCTAGTGAAATGAAAGTAGCGGCTGCATCAGCGAATAGACAAAGACTGTTCCGACTGATACGCAATACGGGAGGTCGGCGAACTCCAGTTAGTGAAACAATCTGCGATACGAGGGGACGAGCTATTCACAATAGGGATCAATGACTCGATCGCTGGGCAGAATACTTCAGCGAACAGTTCATCTGGCCTAGTGCTAACCCGGCTGCTTCATCTGCAACTGAAGCTCCGTCGTCAGTGTCATGCGACCCTCCAGCAGCAGCAGAAGTTCGGTCTTGCATTTAAGCTCTGAAGCGATGAAAGGCAGCAGGACCGGATGAGCTCCCTCCCGCTCTTTTCAAGATGGGAGGTGATAACCTCGTAAGATGTATTACTACCCTACTGCGCAACATTTGGACGCAAGAACACCTTCACTCATCTTGGGGAGAATCACTGATCGTTTCCATTTTCAAGAAAGGATCTCGCAACGATTGCGGGATCAGTTTGATCCCGATCGTCACCAAAGTGCTAACTTCCATCATACTTCGACGTCTAACGCCTTTAAGAGAGGTCAATATCCGTGAACAGCAAGCCGGATTCCGGCCTGGCCGTGGATGTATTGATCATTTTTTACGTTGCGTTAGATCCTTAAGCTACGTTACACCCACCGTCGGTCAACGATTGCAATGTTCCTTGACCTGACATGAGCGTTCGACTCAGTTGACCGCCATCTCTGATGGGTTCCCCTCTTAGACAAGGAATGCCCCAGAAGTAAGTTTGCCTACTGAGGTCACTGTACTCTCGGACCTCCGGTCGTGTAAGGGTTCACAATGAACTAAGTAGGCCGTTCTTCACCAACAGCGGTGTTCGTCAAGGGTGTCCTCTTTCACCGTTCTTGTTCAACTTCGTCGTAGACGAAATACTGGAGAACGCACTAAGCGATCTCCAAAATGTATGTATTGAATGGACAGCTGGAGAAAATCTGTGCGATTAAGAATATGCTGACGACGTCACTTGTCTGTCCGAATGTATCGAGGACGCGCAAAGCACACCTGACAGACCGACAAGTGTAGTTGCCACATTCATTATGTGCTTTGCACCTTCAAAATGCAAAACGATGCTGCAGGACTGAATTTCGTCTACTCCTGCTCTGAAACTAAATGGCCAGGATTTAGTTATGGTGGATTACTTTTCTTACTTAGGTAGTTTCGTGACCAATGACGGTAACGCAGCAAAAGAGATAACCGCCCGCATTTCCAAGTCTCGAGCATCATACGCAGGATTAAAACACCTTTGGTGTAGACGCAACATTTCACTGAAGTTGAAAGGTCGTTTATATTATGTTAGCGTTCGTGCAGTCCTACTTTAAGGTTGTGAGACCTTGAGTTTGCGAGTAGAAGATATCGGTCGGTGTTTGCGCAGTTTAGCTCACGCTGGATGGAGAGAACGGGTTAATAGCGTGGAGATAAGCCGTCGTGTGTTTGGG